ATACACACACACACACTCACACACACACACACACTCATACACACACACTCTCTCTCTCTCTCGCTCTCTCTTTTTTCTCGCTCTCTCTCCCCATATACATATACATTCTCTCTCTCTCTTTCTCTCTATCTCTCTCCCTCTCTCTCTCTCTCTCTATCTCTCTGTGTCTCTGTCTCTGCCTCTGTCTCTCTCTCTCTCTCTCTCTCTCTCTCTCTCTCTCTGTCTCTCTCTCTCTCTCTATCACCCTTTCTCTCTCTTTCTCCCTCTACCTTTATTTTCAGACGTCGTGCCCCCAGAGGCTGTTTCTTTTAAAGAACTTATTTGCACCAGGTCTCTCAAATAAACGTAGTTTCTCAATCACGTCACTAGGGATTTTCTTCCTTGCTGATCAAATTATCCTCAGCCACTCATTCGCTACCTTAAAATAACAAAGTTATATCTGCACAGTACCTAGTTTTGAGATATTTGACGCCAACGATTTTGATTTTCACATCATGTCTATCTTTAAAAAAAATGCAATTCCATTCTTTGAATATCGCGAAAATGACTCCTAATAATCTTACGATTTTGATAGAGCAGATAGAACTTTTGGTTTCGGGCCTCGTGGTCTAAGTGTTATTAACTCAAAATGGCCAAAATGTCAGATAGGACTTTGTAAGTCTGAGGTTGCGACTTGCATTAAAAACTGTACCTTGGAAATGCTATGGTAGCCTTTGAGCAGAACGCAAACAGGAGCCATATTCAGCCCGTGACGTGATTTATACACTACGTGTTATCAGAGACAGTTTTATTCTACAGAATGTAAACTGTATGTAACTTCAGCTTAGCGCACACCCAACCGCTGCCATAAACTTCAGTTCACGAAAAACGAATGAAGATATAAGCGGCCACGTAACAATGTTAGTGAAGCCGAGCATGCCAGTCGTCAATCGTAGTTATACAACGCCTTTGCCGTACATTGCGATCAACAGATACACAGCTGCTACAAACATACTGATACTTGCATCGTAATGTAAGCCACAGCACATAATAGTAACATTATTTAAATGCTTGGTTATGTTAAAAGGTTTAAATATAATAGAACAACACATTGATATTCATCCTGGGGGTGGTGGGGTATGGGAGGGGAGGGCGGTGAAGGTCAAGCTGAGGTATCCCTTAGGAACATATTTGACCTACTACACACATCCAGGAACTCCACTCTCTGTGGGGCTAACAATCTGGAGTCGGGGGAATAAATAATACACTCTTGGTACACAGCCGATAACGAGTCACCAACTATGTCACGCTCTCTAGGTGTCATTCTTCTCTCTTGGTGTTTTGCATGCTCCGCAAGTCACAAACTGTGACGCTTCTATTATTTAGACACAAAATGTCCACATCTCGCAGTACAGCAAACATCGCGGCAAGGGTTTCTGTCCGAATATAGTATTCTATTGTATTGACACAGTCTGAGTCGTCACAATGTACCAGGGTCAGAGACAGCCAGGCGTTGCATAAATATCCGTTGGGCTATGTTTTGCATCTAGAGTCTGTTTTCGGTAACACCTTCCATTATTACAGTAAGAGATCAGCATTTTAATTTGAAGAATCTCCCAGACATGACGAACACTTTTGCGGCGTTCAACTTTAAAGGAGTTGGAAGAGCTGTAAAACTAACAACAGAACAGTTGAAAAAAATCTTCTCAACTCTGTTGTTTAATAATATGTATGT